TTAACGGTTCACAGTCCTGCTGGAAGGGCAGAACAAGGGGGCTATCTAAATTGTTGAAGACATTGAACAGAACCGGTCCCAAAGCAGACCCCTGCGGAACCCCACAGCTATGTCTACACTCGCGGCTTCTTGCAAGAATAATATGCAAATGAGGATAAGTGTGGAATATCGCTGAGCCTCATTTGCACACCTAATGAGCCACCTTTTTTTTTTTTTTCCAGAAGAGGCTCTTGCGCAAGCAGCGTCTACACTGCCCCTTCTTGCGCAAGAAAAACCCTCTTGTGCGATGCCGTTCTTCCTGAAAAGTAATAGGTGTAACGGCATTGCACAAGAGGGCTTTTCTTGCGCGAGAAGGGGCAGTGTAGACGCTCCTACTTGCGCAAGAACCTCTTCTGAAAAAAAAAAGTGACTCATTAGGTATGCAAATGAGGCTCAGCGATATTCCATGCTTAGTCTCATTTGCATATTACTCACACAAGAAGCCGTGAGTGTAGACATAGCCGTGGGGTTCCGCAGGGGGTCTGCTTTGGGACCAGTTCTGTTCAATGTCTTCAACTATTTAGATATTAGCATAGAGAGGACACTTAAGTTTGCAGATGATCCCAAACTGGGAGGGGTTGCGACTGTTCTGGAGGATAAGGTCATAATTCAAATTTATCTGGAGAAATGGGCTGAGGTCAATGAGAGGAAGTTCAATAAGGACAAATGCAAAGTACTCCACTTAGGAAGGATCAATCAGTTTCACACTAGATATTGCTTCTTTCTTCCACAAAAGCTTAGGCAAATAAAACGCAGTGATATTCTACTTTTATGGAAGAACAATGCAGTATAGACGTAGCCGTACAGAACGGGAAGCGACTGTCTAGGAAGGAGTCCTGCAAAAAGGGATCTATGGCTCATAGTGGACCACAAGCTAAATAGGAGTCACCAGCATGACGCTGTTGCAAAATAAAGCAAACATGATTCTGGGCTGCATTAACAGGAGCAATGAGCAAGACACGAGAAGTCATTCTTTCGCTCTACTCTGTGCTGATTAGGCCTCAATTGGAGTATTGTGTCCAGTTCTGGGCACCACATTTCAAGAAAGATGTGGAGAAACTGGAGGAGGTCCAGAGAAGAGCAACAAGAATGATGAAAGGTCTAGAGAACATGAGCTATGAGGGGAGACTTAAAAAACTGGGCTTTAGTTTAGAAAAGAGGATAGCGAGGGGAAATAGGATAGTGGTTTTCAATACCTAAAAGTGTTACAAGGAGGAGGGAGAAAAATTGTTCTCCTTTGTTTGTGAGGAGAGGACAAGAAGCAATGGGCTTAAACTGTAGCAAGGGAGGTTTAGGTTGGACATTAGGAAAAACTTCCTGTCAGGGTGGTGAGACACTGGAATAAATTGCCTAGGGAGGTTATGGAATCTCCATCACTGGAGAGATTTAAAAGCAAGACAGACAGACATCGGTCAGGGATGGTCTCTAGCCAGTGCTTGGTGCTGCCATGAGAGCAGGGGATTGGACTCAATGACCTTTCCAGTTCTAGTGTTTGAGAGCATCAGTGAAGGGAAGAAGCCCATAGCAAACAGGAACCCCGTGCAGGTCTGGCCTCATGGGGAAACTGACCAGTCTAGCCTCAGCAGAATAAGCTATTTACAGTAGTTGCTTGTGCGGATGCTTGAGCCCAGCATACAGGGGATTTTGTACCCTACTGGTTACTCTGCTCTTCAGAGGGGGAGCTGCATTAGTCTGTAGCAGGAAAAACTTAAAAACCAGCAAATAGTCCTGCAGCACCTTCAAGATTAACAAAACCTGCAGATGGGGTCATGAGTTTTCATGGGCACAGCCCCCTTCTTCAGATGAATGCTAATTATTCTGGAATAAAGCAACTTTTCTTCCAGGCTAGGTCTACACTATAGTCGACTTAAGATACTCAACTCCAGCTACAATAATTACATCACCGGAGTCCAAGAACCTCAAATCACATTTTGGCACTGTCCACATGGGGGGAGTCAAGGGGATGCACTCTTTCAACTTCCTTTACTCCTTGTAGGAGCAGGACCAGCAGCACTGAGGGGTGCACCCCCTCAGTTCAAATGAGCATTTTCACTAGACCCGCTCATTCGAACACTGGAAGATTGACTGGTGGCTTCGATCTTCTCGGCCATGTAGACCTAGAGCCATGGTGGAGTGTCCACGGAGGGTACGTCTAGACTGTGGTGCTATTTGGGGATACTGGAAATAGCTATTCCGTGTCTTTTAAACCAGCCTGTTATTTCAAAACAGGTTTCAAAATAACAGGCTTGCTATTCCGATCTCTGTAACCCTCGTTCCCCGAGGGTTAAAGGGATGTTTCAGAACAGCAGTTCAAATTTGGCACTGTAGATATTGCATAAGATATGTCACTTGTGTAGCTCAAATTGAGTTTTATTTTGAGTTACTGGTGCAGGGTAGGTGCACTGTGAGGCTATGTTTACATTTGCGGCTTCTTGCGCAAGAAATATGCAAATGAGGCTAAGCATGACTATCACTGAGCCTCATTTGCATACCTAGTGAGCCACCATTTTTGCAGAAGAGGCTCGTGCCAGAAGGAGCTGTCTACACTGCCCCTTCTTGCGCAAGAAAAACCCTCTTGTGCAATGCCGTTCTTCCTGAAAATCGGCATAGCAGCATTGCGCAAGAGGGTTTTTCCTTGTGCAAGAAGGGGCAGTGTAGACAGCTCCTTCTGGTGCAAGAGCCTCTTCTGCAAAATGAGCCTCCATTTAGATATGCAAATGAGGCTTGGCAATATGCCACCCTTTGCCTCATTTGCATATTTCTCATGCAAGAAACCATGAGTGTAGACATAGCCCAGGGAGCTGTTCTGGAATGAGCTGTTCTAGACAGTTTCCCCAGGTAGACAATCCCTGGCCCCACATTCGGCTTGGTAGCAGGCCCGAGGGGAAACCTGGGCCCGGCTCACCCAGGAGCTGCCTGGCCTAGGACCTAGGTAAAGGCAGGGGTGAGTTTTTAGGGGCATTTCACGCTGAACAGTGGATGGGGCCGAGTCCCAGCGACATTAGACTATAGCTGCAAAATAATGAGGCATCCTGGAGCCCCTTCCATGCCTCCGGCAAAGTGGTTGTGACCTAGGGGAGCTGGTGCCCAATCAATGTGGGTCTAAGGGGCCCAGGGCTCTTCAGTTTTGCTGAATGGGGAGGAGGAGTTATCCGTGGTACACAAAGCCAACACCCACCCCCCCAAACTGCATGTCACCTGAGGGAAGACACTGTCCTTTACCTCGGCTGCCACTGCCTGTACTCACAGCATGGGGGTGAGCCTGGCTGCTTTTCCCAAAGTTGCCTATCACACACATGCACCCTCCCCCCCTCAAGGAGCCTCGGACCCAAGCTTCCATGGCAGGGGCAGATGCCGATCACTGTTTCTGCCTCTCTCCCATGGCACTGGGCATTTCTGGCTGTCCATATCCTCCTCCCTCCCCTGGTGGGCGTTAAGGAGATGCTCCTCAGGCCCATAGCTGGCTGCAGCTCCTGGCACCGGACAAACCCAGCAAGGATTCTAGGTGGGCACAGGAGCCCTTCCCACAAATCCATCATAAGTCTCCTGCCCAGGGACAGAGTGAGACTGGGCAGGGGGTGGACCAGCAGCTGCAGGAATGGGCACCAGGCTGGAGCTGGTGCCAGAATTTTGTGGCAAGAAGCAATAAAGGCCCAGGGGAAGTTAAGCCGCCGTTAATCACAGCAGCAGGCCAACGGAAGCACGAGAGGCTACGCTGCCCCGGCCGCACCCATAAAGAA